CGGAGCGGCTCCCGCGCTCGCGGTCCCGACTCGGGCTCTGGGCTCCCCGGCGCGGGCGCCTCGTCTGCGTCCGCTTCCCAATCCACCGCCGGGTGCTTCTCTCCGCGTTTTTAATCTCGATTTGTTTCTGTTTTGCATCGCTAAATGACTTCCTCTGAAAGGTTCTGTTGGCTTGGGTAAAAAACAGTCTACACTGAACGGTACTTTTGTTTTCAAGAGTTTTAAGCGTGGCCTTCGGTTGGTTTTTATTTTTAAAACCTAGAGAAATATATAGTAGTAGTTTCGGTTAAAAAAAAACAAAAACAAATGTATGAGGGTGAATTAACAACTTTAACTGTAGTTTTCGATTTTGAAAGAATTTATACTATGTGTATTTCTCTGGAATTTAAAATATCCACACGTAACATTATTCTTCAGGGGATTTTTTAAAGTCCAAAATGGCGCGTTTCTCTGGGATTTTTCTCAAAATCCATTTACAGTGGTGCTATTTGGGGAATTTAAATTATCTAGCTATATGTATTGCTCTGAGATTTAAAAGTTATCTCTACAAGGGCGTTACTGGGGAGGGATTAAAAATCCATCTACAACGGCACATTGATTTTTTGCAAAAATCCCAGAGACATAAATGCCTGTCTGCCGGGAGTTTATACACCTACAGCTCTGTACTTAGTTAGGGGTGTGTTTGCACGGAGGTTTCTGGCTTCTTAATTTACATTTGCTCTGTGTTTCTACCTGCCTATTTTTGAGAATTGGTGAGCCTTTCTGTGATTTTAGGCAGAGAGCTGTGAGCTTTTCTGGGCTTCTGTGTTTTGTTTTTAAATTCTTTTTCTTTATGTTTCAATGTTTCTAAGACTGCGTGTGTCTTGTGTAGCTTCAAAGAGAGAGAGGCCGAAGCCCGAGGTCACCTAGACTGTCGGTCTGGGCTGGTCGGAGGGGTTTTCTAGGCCTTGGGACTGGAGGCCTAGAATTAGTAAGGCCGAGCACCCGGCTGTGTTGGGCCGGCTCCGTGAGGCTCCGCGCAGCCCTGGGGAGAAGAAAGTGCAGGGGCTTTAGACCGGAAAGATCTGATCCCAGCTCAGAAAAGCAGAGACCCCCCTTCAGATTTAACCCCCCCTCCCAGCCCGCATAAAAAGCATACAGTTGTAGGTAACTGGGGCAGCGGGACTGTGACGCTGAGCCCGGCAGAGGGAGCATGCCCTGCCCAGCCGGGAACCCAGGCCCGTGGCTCCGCTCCGACTCCGGGCTCTTCTCGGCGGCAGCC